GAGACCCCAGACATTCTAGACATTCTAGTCCCCAGCCCTTTGTTGCTACCTCCTTCTATCCACTCGCCCCAAATGTTTTTTATTCCCACAGCTGGGTCATCCCCCTGCAGGCTTTCTTCTGCCTGCCCAGCTGATGATGTTTTTCTGGCTCCAGAAAACTTCCGATTGTTACAAACAGTGCTTGTGGGGACAAAGGATTGTCCCGATTAAAACAACAACAACAAAACTAGGACGGTCTTGCAAGAATCCGGATGGGTGGCCAGCCCACACGAACACTATGTGATGTTTCTCTCTTCTTTTTTTTCTTCTCCCCATCATTAAACAGGAACAATGTCATTATTTTGAAAACTCAGGAGTTACACTAAGGTTTTAGTTGTGGCCAAAGGTTTGTTCAATAGCCAGTGCTGCTGAGATGCCTAAAACACTTTTTTCTATGTCATTAGTCTTAGGGGTCTGATTCTGTCATTATCGCATTGGTATGTTTTAAGGGATGGGCAGCCCTGAAAAATAAGAATAAATTCCACCTTGACTCTTAATCTCAAATTAGCAGGTCTTTTTCTCCCTGCAGTTTTGAGAATAATTGAAAAAAAAAAAAAGACTCAATTAGTTCAAATAAGATGGAGTAACATTTCATTTTATTTCATTCATTAGAATATTATTTAATTATCACTAACTGCATGATGGGCTTTTGCTTGTAACTCTGATTACATTGAGTTTAAATGGACATAAAACTGTTGTCAAGAAATGAAATGAGAAAATGTTGTTTACGGTATTGCCCATGTTGTCCGCCAGTATTCTATCTTTCCAACAGCTGCAGCAGGACATGCTGTTGGTATTTGGAGGCCTCTAGAGAGAGAAGTGGCCAAGTTTATTTTTCTAATCTCTAAATTCGGCACACAGGTCAGCACTGAAAACTCCTTATCTATGTGTACAACAAACTGTCACTAGTTAATGCTCTTAGTCATCATACCTTGCAGGGAGGCCTGAAAGCTAGGGCAGGACCCTGAATCCCCAAATTCTCTGCTACTGAGCACATAGGACTTATCTGCAGAAGTTACTTAACCTCTCTTTACTTCATTGCTAAAATTTTAAGTAATGATTCCAAATTAGCACAGAGTAAATAGATGTAAAAAAAATCCTCTATACTAAAAGAAATGCTCATTTTTGATGGACTTTATTTTCAAGCTGTGTCCAATGCGTTCCCTCTTTTTTTAGTTCCTGTCATGGTTGTAATGATAACTAGTGCTGCTATTTACAGAAACTACTTTATTTTTAGCCTGGAAATGGGGGGCAAAACCTCTTTGTTTTTTGGCCTGATCATGGACAGCTCTCGTATATTCTTAATTCATGGCCCATCATCTGTTATTATTAGGTGTCTCAAATGAATCCATCTCCTAATTGTGACTGAGGCTAAGTCATGAATGATTTCGCATGAAGGCAAGTATTCTTGGATGCTTATGCAGCCTAATGTCACTGTTCCTCAGACTGTTTACCTAGACAAGTCAATGAAGAACCATGCCAATTCACTATTAATAATTTCCATAGCAGGTAAAAAAAAATCAGTCTTCTTATTAATTTCTACAAATAAGTAACAGAGAAGCATATTATTGTTTTTGTTAAATGGAAAGTTAGATTAAGATACTCAAATTCATTTTTCGTTTGCCATAAAGCCATCATCAGACGGGAACAGCAACAGGCTTTTGAGGCCAAAGTAAGTGGAAAATAAAGATTTTTCTATGGGAAAGTTTCTGAATGGCACTTTTATTAATGTATATAATTCCCTACAGTGGCCTATTAATGCCACAATCATCCCTTCTTCAGGATCCTCCAAAACTACTTTAACCATGTGCTTCCCTCTCCTCTCTCTCTCTCTTCCCTCCCCCACTTCCCTCCCTCCCATTCTGCCACCCTTCCTCTCTTGCCTACTACAATGGAATTTCCAGACATTTTAAAGGGGAAATGTGGGAAGAAACAGTAGCAAGCTGCAGAGCCCTCATCCTTGAGATGAAAATGTCTTATTTCAAGCTCTTTATTGAAAAATAATGTATTAGGCTGAAAATATGAGAATTGCTATTAATGGTTCAGATCCATATTTTCTCATGTTCTGTGTTTTGTTGCTAATGGTTATGCCAAAGGAAACTATATGGCTGAGTAGATCTGGGCTGGGAGACATTGATTTCAGAAGGTAAGGCATGCTCCCGTCTTCTTCGCTTTCCCTAAAACCTGCTTCCATCAATTTGTCCTACCACTTTTTGATTTTATTCATATTTAAAGGTTGTTTATTGGAGCAAGGAGTTTCATAAGCATACTAGAAGTTATATAATATAACCTTGCATTTCAATAATTAAAATTTTATTTTAATTGTCAAAGAATTGCTTTTAATGTTATGTTCTGGGATTGCACTTCAAGTGCAAGATCACATTAACAATAATCTTTCATTACAAAAAATTCTGCATATTTTTTCTGCCTGTGTCATTTCTATTTAAATTGGCTTTAAATAAAACTATAAAAATAGCATAATAAAACTGCATGTCCTCTAATATATTTTATTTCTTAGACCAACTGAGCTTTCCTCTGAAAAACTTGTGAGAATTTTACTGTGATCCTATTCAAATAGAAGACTACTAAACATAATACTTTTTGCAATATCATCTGCGTCAAATATTTTCTTTAAAAAAAGATTTTATTTATTTGAGAGAGAGAGAGAGTGTGTGTGCAAGTGGGGGGGAGGGGCAGACGAAGAGGGAGAGGCAGAGAATCTCAAGCAGACTCCGTGCTGAGTGTGGAGCACACAGTGGGGCTCGATCTCATGACCCTGAGATCATGACCTGAGCTGAAACCAAGAGTCGGATGCTCAATGGATTGAGCCACCCAGGACCCCCATGCATCAAATATTTTCCATTTCAAGCATTTTCCATTTCCCACAAACTGAGAATGGGAAGTTAATGATGTGTCTTCCACAATTTTCTGCAAAACGAACTGCTACTTTTAGCAATCAACTTGTTTTTTTACCTTATAGACTATTGTGGTTTTTTTTTTTTAGGAATGGAATCAAGTATTATTCTATATTCAGAATCCCTTGAAGATTTGTTGTTTGTGTTGCAAATTGCACATGATGTTTTAGGTAGCACATGTGTATTTCCATTGAAAGAACATGTCCTATTTTTGGGGAAGAAAAAAACATGTAAGACATCAAATGTTTCTTGCAAAACAATTTGATGAAATAAATGTAAATGAATCAGAAACATGTGAATTGTATTTCACTAAAAATTAATGGGTTTAAATATGAAGGGAGTAAAGTGCTTGGGGGAAAGAGTGTGGCAAGGCGGGAAGTTACATTTGTTTTGTTTTCATCAGTCTTGGATTCTTGAAAAATGGCCTAATACTCTGAATTTAACCTCATTCAGATTCTCCATTAAGCCAAGTGATGGAGATCCAGAAAGGGACAATAATATGCAAAATCATTTTATAGCTCTATCTGGCTCCGATTATAATGTAGGCATCAAACATGGCCATTATGCAATCCTTCAAAAGCACTTGCAAACTCAAAATTCGTGATTTTCCTATTGTAATGATGCTGAAAGTGTATTTTTTCCCCATAGAACATGTAAAGTTTTCAGCCTCACATGTCAGCTTAACATTTATTTCCTCTGTCAAACTGAAGAGGATCAGATCTAAACAGAAAACACGGGGACACTGAAGGTAGCCACATGTAGCAGAAGGGTGGGGAGGAAAGAGAATGTAAGAGAGGGAGAAAGAAGGGGAAAAGAAATAGACCATGTGTGCAGACCGAGGTCACCAAACCTCATTTCATAAGCAAAGCACTCAAATCCCACTAATTATTTGAGGGTCGCAAAAACTTTAGCCCATAGGTTTACATTCATACCCTTTATGCGTGCTTAAAAACAACTACATAGCTTCTTTTTACTTTTTGTATTTTTCAATTAAAAAAAAAAACCCGTGCATTATTCTGAAAACAGGAAAGAGCTACAAAAAGAAAAGAAAAACAACTTATAAATAAGTCTCCCTGTCAACATGCTTCAAAATATGAGGAAGTTTGATGTGTGGCGTGGCAGCTCAGTTTCTCAACTCTGCCTCTGCAAACAGGGACATTTTAAGTGTCCTGAAAACGTCCAAGAGGCAAGGAGTACATAACTGGAGAATGTATTTTTATTTTGGGAGATAATCTAGGGCACTGCTTAAGTAGCCTCACGTGGTGAGATATAGAGGCACCGGGTCCTTTCTGTATAAGTTGAAGGCCCCAGAGCCCATAGGGCTGTTTTTGTATGTAAAGAGCCTGCCTTTTTATTTCTCGAGAACATGATGTCATTGGAGTTGAGCATTTCTCTGACGGCTTAGAACCCCACTGCTGCTCATCACCCGCATTTGGAATGAGGACCCAGCTCCTTGATTTCTTTGTGCCAAACAGCCTGTTACCTCAAATGGTTCTGGAAGTGGTTCTCTGCTGTGCTCCTCACGGGCAGGATTTGTGGGGAGTCACTCTGAATGTATTTGTTCCCCAACTGGGCAGGAGATGTGTTCCAGCTTCTAACACAGCCCTTTGTTGTTTCATTTAAACTTCCCCTCATCCAGTTCAGTAGATGAAAAACGGAGTAGTGAGGCTCACTGTTTCATTTACGCCATAAATCAGTGGCAATATAACAGTCACAACAATTTCTGAGCCCCCAAAGGTACTCTTAAAAGCTCTACCTATCCACACAAAATGTAAAATCCCAGCTCCAAAGTCATGTCAACAAAAATATAGGAATAGCATCAACTTTATCTTTGTCCCCGTCAACAATCAGTAGTTAGAGGGTTCTTGATGAAGGAAGTGTCACTCTGTAGGATGTGTGCTCAGAACGTGATTTCAGTGGCATATTTCCTTTGATGAGAAACCTACTGTGATTTATTTCCCATCATGATTTGCTGCAGTAACTTTGATAGGTGTGACGGAATCTAATCTACTTTGCGTTTGGTGTTGTTGTTGCACTTTCTGACAGGCCTACCCTTGTAGCAGTGATAAGGAATGTGAAATTGGGAGATATTGCCACAGTCCCCACCAGGGATCCTCGGCCTGCATGGTGTGTCGAAGGAAAAAGAAGCGCTGCCACAGAGATGGCATGTGTTGTCCCGGTACCCGCTGCAATAATGGTAAAGATCTAGTTCAGTGTCGACGGGCCTCTTCCTCTTTCTGTAGGAGGCATGTCTAGCAAATTCGACTACATTCTCCTTAGCCAGACCCCTGAAATGCAAGGAGCCTTTCAAAACTGGCAGGGATTGGTTTAGATATGTGTACACGGTTTAGATATGTGTACAATTACTTGGATTACCTCCCAAATCCTAGTTTTCCTGGGCTCTGATCTATATTTCTAGATTTTATATTCTATGGCAATCCAGGATTTGCCACGCCAAAGTGTTGTACGTGAATAGCTATAAACACATAAGTGAATACGTGCAAAAGACCAAACAAAGAACCTGGTGTGATTGAGCAATACAGTCGTGTGTCCCTCTTCCAGTTTCATACCTCGGTTGTTATATTCAGGGTGTCTTCTTTTAAAGCCCCCCCCCCACTCACCACACTCATAGTGAGGGAGGGATTGGCTCCTCCAAATGGAGACACGCGGGTCTATTCCCCAGCCTTTCTATAAGCATGACTTCACCCAATGTCAGTGAACTTCTAGGCATACAATTCAGCATTAATGATGAAATGAAGAACCACAGACAACACAGGATAAAACCATTAAATAATTACAGAAGGTGATCTGAAACATAAACCTAGTCATATAAACCAAGATAATCAGACTCCTGTCCATATACATGCTCCTGACCTCTGGGCAAAGTCCTGTTGGAAGTACCTGGGACAGGTGAAGGGAAGAGATGTTTACAATGTAGACTAGGGTGATATTGTTGATTGAACAAAGGAACCTGGATCCTGAAGATGGATGTCTGGTCAGGCATTTTAAAAGTAGGAATAGCTAATATTAATTTAATACTTACTACGTCACTATTCTAAACACACGTATTCACAACTTAATGAAATGTTTTTATTCCTATTTTTGCCCACAGACACCTGGTCTTGAGAAGAGATGCAAATTAAGGAAGCCTGAGTTAGGCCAAACTAATTCTATTTAATATTAAATAATATGGTTTAATATTGTTTATGTAAATAAATGAATGGCTGAATGAATTGAGGATAGATAAATGATAGATAGATGATAGATAAATATGTAGATAGATGATAGATAAATAGACAGATAGATAGGAGATAGCATCACACCTCACATCAGCACAATACTTGGATAAGAATCACACTTTATAGAATCGGATAAGTCTAACTACTTACTTGCCATCTCCAGGCATCTGCATCCCTGTCACAGAGAGCATCTTAACCCCTCACATCCCAGCTCTGGATGGCACTCGACACAGAGATCGAAACCATGGTCATTACTCAAACCATGACTTGGGATGGCAGAATCTAGGAAGACCACACACTAAGATGTCACATATAAAAGGTAAGCGATCTGTAGCACTATGCTTACTTTTTCTTGTTTTAAGAGAAGTAAAATTAAAATATTGATAATTCATTGCATTGGTTTTAGAAAAAATACCAGGAAGATACTTTGTTGGCAAGATTTTAACTGAATTTATTAATTCTTAATTTTGAGGATTCTGGAGGTTTCTAAGAGATCTTAAATTGTTAGGAAATATATATTATGAGAATTGCAGCACCCCTGATCAATCAATCATGCCATTTTCTAAACAGCCCTGCCTTTAAATGTTTGCAGTCATATGATTAAATCCCTAAGCTTTTGAATCATTTTCTCACCCTTGCAGAAATTTAATTTCACTAAACAACCACATAATATACTATTCATAGACCAACTTATCAAAAATAATTGGTTTCTAGTGGGATTATATATGGTCATAAAATCCCCTTACTTGTATCAAAATATTTGGGAAGCCTAATCACTAACAGTAAAATTTGAAAGCATGAAATTATTGATCTTTATTACTAATAGTGGAAGGTCGAAGGCATGAAACACGTCCATCTTTAAAGGAGGCTTCTTTCAAGTGTGTTCTGTGGAGCAATACTCTTTTAAGACAGTCTGTAAATGAAAGTGTGCCATGTTCAAGAGTTTTGTAATAATGCATATCCCAGTTTGGGAACTTTATACAATTGGGATATTGAGGGCTCTGAGAAGCCCAGCAGTGAGGAAAACTGGTTAAGTTTTTTAAACACTGTATGTCCTCAATATTGACCACAAATATTGTGGTCAATATTCCTTGACCACAAAAACATTTCCCCACATTTTCATGTTCTGCAGAGCTAGTATCCTATAGAATAACTGACCTATTAGTCAGACCTGGAATATTAATGTTGACATGGATAATGTTAAAAAGATTAATAATTTCTCTTTAATTATCCCCTGTCTATGCTCCCTGAAGACCTATGTCTTTACCCGATCTCCTATTTCTATTCCACCAAATTCACATACATTTGTCATTACATGAGTAGCCTTCCTTATTCCAATAGATAGCTATGTCACCGTACAGTTTCAAATTTACTAATATTTTTATATAGCTTTATGTATAATATTCTGATGGAAACTAGGAAGAACTCCTAGTGGGTCATGTCCATATCACACAGTGGGGTTGGTTATATCTGGGCTGACAGACAATCCTTTAGACCAGGATCGGCACATTACAGCCTGTGCGCCAAATATGTCCTACTGCCTGTTTTTGTAAAATAATGTTTTAATGGAACACAGACTTGCCTATTCATTTAGGCATTACTTATGGCTGCTTTTGTGACAGCAGAAGTGAGGAGTGACAGATCACATGGCCTAAAAAGCCTAAATATTTACAATCTGGCAAAAATACAGAGAAGTTTTTTGACCCCTTCTTTGTATAGGTGACACATCAACCCAGCTGTGATGTGTGTTTGGTCTTTTGCTGATTTAGTCATTTTTTCTGAATTAAATATCCAGATCTGTTCTTCCACATGTTTTTAATGATGGGTTCTTTGTTGACCCTGGGCCTGTCTGCCCTTTCTCTACTCTGCTCTGAATCACAGCTCTTTAGAGACCGCGCATCCTAGGCTCCCTGTCAGTGGGCCTTTGGGATTTCAGTCCCAGCTAGGGATTCCTGGCCCCAGATTCTGACATGACCTTCTCCGCTGGATCCTTCAGCCTAACTGTGGTAGCGGCTTCCTGCTCTGTTGCTTTACCATCCTCTGGGCCTTCTGAGTCCGCCGCCACCTGCGTGCCTAGTTCTCTGCATTAAACATCTTCTGTCTTAAGTTTCTGTTTTCCTGGCTAGACACTGAAGCAGGGTTTTAGGAGTCCCTGAGAATTTCAGCTTTCTCCTTGAATCAGAGTTTATTTATACCTCCCAAGAAGGTATCAAATTAATTACTTTGAAAGCAATTCTCTTTCTTTGCTTATTTTTCACTCACCTCGTTAAAAAAAATGATCAGAGGAAGATCTAAGAGCAGACCATGCTGAAGTAAAGAGAAGATGAAGCACAGTCCTTGCTATCCATGAAGCTTGATATTCAGACAGCGAATAATCAAAATAGACAATAATGGCTTGACGTGATTAGAGGGAGAGCCGATCGATAGGAATCCAAGACTTTCCATCATAAATGATAACTCCATGGAAGACAGTACAAGTAAAAATATTGTAGGTGCTTCTGATTGCAGAGTAGGATTTTTTCCTAAAGTGTCATGGTAATATCTTTTGGTCATCATCTCTGTAGGGCATGAAGGAGACCCCTGCCTACGATCATCAGACTGCATTGAAGGGTTTTGCTGCGCTCGCCACTTCTGGACCAAAATCTGCAAACCAGTGCTCCATCAGGGGGAAGTCTGTACCAAACAGCGCAAGAAGGGCTCTCATGGGCTGGAAATTTTCCAGCGGTGTGACTGCGCAAAGGGCCTGTCGTGTAAAGTATGGAAAGATGCCACCTATTCCTCCAAAGCCAGACTCCACGTGTGTCAGAAAATATGATCACCTCTGAGGAAAATCATCACTAGTAGACTGTGAATCTGTGTATTTAATGCAGTATAGCATGGTGGAAAATAGGATTTGGATCTCAGAAGAATGGCTAACATAAGGAATGTGATATGAATATAGAGATCACAGAGAGAGAAAAAGGAAAAGAGAATAAGCAGATTAGAAAGGGGTAACAAATGTAGTACAACCGATGCATTTCCGTGATGCAACTTGTTTATGTAAATAATGTACACATTTGTGAAAATGCTATTACTGAAAAAAAAAAGCACACAGTGAAACTTACTGACGAATACCATGTGACTTTCCAAGAGTTTAGGTTGTGCTGGAGGATCGGTGTCCTTCAGATTGGTGATTGCCTATAGAAATAACCTAAAAGCCATATTTCTAGTTCAAGGTTATTGTTTAACAAAATAGTCCCTTGGCATACAATAGGCTTTCATATAAAAAGAGTTGTTATATAAGAAATGAAAGCATGGAACATAGATAATTTGCAACACAGAATCACCTTTTGGTTTGGAACACTACTTCTATGGTTCAATGAAAGGCCTTGGTAGATAAAAAAAGCAGTCAGTATTTTCCAAATAATTTCAAAATAATTGCAAGTCTTTTCGTGAACACCTTTAGGAAAAACCAAAGTTGTTTTGCTTTAAACTGTTTAGTGACGTTTCTCAAAAATTTATTTTCACTGGTAATTCCCAAGAATGTTTTTGTATAAGACAAAAACAGTCCATTCACATTCTAAAGGAATGGCATTGCACGTTTTCTTGATTGTATGTGATTCCTACCCTGAATATATTTTATTTTCCAAACTATCCCAATTAATTGTGAATAGTACAGAGCAGAGTTTCACAGATTTCAAAAATTTTTAAGGTGTCCAAGATACAGAATCAACGCTAATAGACTGTTATTTGTTGAAGCTTTGGCATTTCCCATGTTTGGTAGAATTAGATTGGTAAATACATGTATTCTTTACACACGCAGCAATACATTGAGGAAAAGCTGATAATAGAAACTTGATCTACATTTGTGCTGCACCGAGGGACACAAAGGAAATGGACAAAACTTTGTCAAGTGCCCAGGTTTTGGCAACATGTCGATCATATGTCTGAGGCACAAACTGACTATTCATATTTGAAGCCTGAGGCTGCACAACCTAAATGGAAGTTTTCCATGGGATTTGCTATCACAATATTTACTATGCAGATGAGTTCTGTGTAGGTCACTAGTTGACCTCAAAATATTTATATTTTTGAGGTCCTAAAATAATATGGGGAGGTCTCATGAAATGGACTCCCAAGGCAGGTAGTATAGTAAGGTTCCAGTGTCCTCCCTAAACGTCTAACTTGCCAATGGCACCATCTGAAATTTCTGTACCAGTCTCTCTCTGCAACAGCTGTTTTTTTTTGCCAAAGATATTGTTTCTGTTTTCTGCAGCCATTGAAAGTAAAAAATATAAATGGAATAACTTGTAAAATCTACATATTGCTAACCTATAGAAACCACAGTTTCCAAATTCTTTGAAACCATTTTATTACCTTTTTTTTACTTTACTCAGCTCTAAATATTTGTCTAGAGCATAAAGCAAAAAAGTTATCTTATAGTTGTTACTTTTGACCTTTTCTTTTATAGACTGCAAGTCACTCCTTAATTTTCTTTTACTTAAACCCCTTCTGCAGTTTCAAATTCAAGTTTTCCCAGTAGAGATTGAATCTGAGCCTGCATGTCTATTAAGAATTTCAGCTTCCCATACACATTTACAAGGGTGATTAAGATTTACATTTTTTCCACATGTCTGCTAAAACAAAAATTATAAGCTAATCTATCCAAGAACCAAAGTTTGTGCAAACAGGTTTCTATAAGCTTGGCAACATGAAAATGGAACATTTCAGTCAAACATTTCCTATATAGCAAACACATTTACAATCTGGTTTTTGCATTATTTCCCTTATGTACATCCCCAAATTATTATTTGAAGTAATTTATTTACAGGAAATGTTAATGAGATGTATTTTCTTATAGAGATATTTCTTACAGAAAGCTTTGTAGCAGAATATATTTGCAGCTATTGACTTTGTAATTTAGGGAAAATGTATAATAAGATAAAATATATTAAATTTTTCTCCTTCAAAAATGGAATTCAAACTTCCTTGTGTTTTGCTTATGAGAAAAACTTTCACAGAATCATAGATTCTCAGAGTTCAAATGGACGAGCTGATTCGACAGTTGGGGTAGGAATCTTTTGGATGACCTCACTATGAGATGATCCAAGGCAGTTTACTATTACTAAAGGCAGCTTATTCATGGCAGGGCAGATGTAATTGTTAGAAAGTTATTTTTTCATTAAACTAAAATATCCCAGCTTGTGCTTTCTACCCATTTATTCTTACTCTGTGTTCTGGAACATCTTGGAACAAGGGTTCTCCACAAACTTCTTCAAAACACTTGAAGCCACCTAACCTATTTCCTATAATCTTCTACCCCGATTAAAATGTCCCCAAATAGAGATGCCAACATGCTTAGCATATTGGTTCATTCCCTGATGGCACAAAGAAGCTACAAAATATCTTTATCCCTATATGGATACGGACTAAGTTACCTGGCCCTGAGTGAACTCAAAGCCACTTCCTGGGAAAGTCTTTGCTTCCTAAACACAGAGATGTCAGTAGTGTTTGTTAAACAGAACTCACCAATTTTGAGACTGGGAGTGGTTGTAGAAGCCCATGTTGTATTAGAGATGTTAATGGGCTAGAAATGTGGAAAATAAACATTGTGTGACAGTGGAATGGATTAAGTGTAGCTATGGCAGCGTAATGAAGCTAAAACAGTCCCATAGCTAGAGGTCAGAGTTGAAGATACCTCAAGCATTGCTGAAATAACTCCCACATTATTCTAATTAGTCACTTAAATAGTTATTCTTAAATAGTTATCCATTTCCTCAAATTGATAGCATTTGTATTTCCTAGCTGCAGTGTATTTTTAGACTATAACAGTCATATGGGTGATATTTTTCTTTTCCACTGAGCTCAGGGAGATGCTCTGAAAACTGACAAATTGTCTTGACTTCCCTTTTAGCCAAGAAACACAATGCCTTATCACAGCCCTAGGATTTGAGGGGGGAAACAATCAATTACACTCTTCTCCACCCCCCAAATTCAGGCCATTTGAGAAAAAAAGTTAAGAAAGAAAGGTAGATGACAGATTACCCTAGGTTGATAAAGTTATTGGAGAGTGTGGTGTGTAGCTTAGCGTAGACCAGAGGATACTAGAAAGAGCCAGGTTCTGGAGCAAGATACTAGAAAGTTGCCCATTCTCAGACAACACCAGACGACATCATTTCTATGTGTGGGAGCTCCTATAAAACTTACTGCATGGATGGGCAGAACAGAGTTTTTCTGGCAATTTGTGCCAAAGAAGGGTGGGAAGGAACAGAACTATGCATTTCTCCTTCAAGAATCTCATTTGAAATTCCACTGGATAATTCACAGCACATGAAAGGAGTGAATGAGGGATAGAGACAAAGATTATTATACACTCCACACTCAACTAATGTTAAGAACTAGAAAAGAAGAAACCCCTCCCCCACATCACTCCCCAGATCTTTATATTCTTAACTCATTGTACATAGCCATTTGTCTCTGGTGAACACACCACCATAGATCAGCTATCTACTAAAGCATCACCTGATGAAGTCTTCCCCCCAATGTCAGTCACTCCTTTATGGATACTCTCAGGACCAGGGGTGGAAAGTTTAGATTTTTATCCCCAGAAGATGGCAAGATGGATGAAAATAACTCATTAATTCAATTGACTCCAAGACCACACTATACTCAGGGTTGGAAAATAACTCCTCTTTCGTTTTAGCATCTCAAATTATGTCCATCATATTATCCACCACAATCCATCAGTGGTTCTGCAGTGAGATTAAATGACACATTGGGTATCTGATAATGTGTAAAAAGTACTGCAATCATAAAATTCCAACAACCCAAAGACTTTTGAATATAAATCCTGTTCCATTAAGAAATCCCAAGGAGAAATTAATGCACAAAATTTAAACCCTCTTGCATGTTAAAGTCAAAATAAGTTGAAGTCCAACGAACTTAAAGTCTATATTTGTTATCTTCCTCTTTAGAATAAGGAGCCCAAAGAAACTGAAATGCAAAATCTTCAAGTTAATGGCTAAAGTTTTCCTTCTTCATCCCAGATGTATTCTGCTCTCTCTTAGCTGGAGGCTTTATTGATGCCTGTGTTGAGTGGGACTCTTTCAGCAGCTACGGCCAGGACAGTATCTCACTGGAATGAGAGATTTAAATTTTTTTAAAGATTTTATTTATTTACTTGAGAGAGAGAGAGAGAGAGGGAGTGCTAGCACGAGTGGGGGGAGGGGCAGAGGGAGAAACAGACTCCCTGCTGAGAGCCGAACCCACCTCAGGCTAGATTCCAGGACCCTGGGATCATGACCTAAATCAAGAGCCGACTGACTAAGCCATCCAGGCTCTGCTGAGAGACTTAATTTTTAATAATGTCCAATCAATTTTTGGATATATCCGATTAAGTCAAAGATGTCACCACATTTAGAAAATAAGGCAATCTCTAGCTCTTAGGGCAGATATACCAGGCAATACCCTGTTAACAAATCTAGGACATGGTGTCATCAAGAACGCATAGCAAAGATGCTTGGAATATGAGTGAAAGAAGGTAGATGTTTTTGCTTTGTTAAAAATGTCAACTAATAAAAAAAAAAAGTCAACTAATCCAAATCAGTTCTGGAACCCAGGACCTATGCACTTAAACTTACTTGGGAAAAACATCCTACCGAGATATTAGATACAGCACTATAGTTTACCATATGATAAGCTGGGAGGAGAATCCACCTGTGTATTCCATCCACTTTTAGAGAGTGAGTGGTATTTGAGGCATTACTGTCTTCACGTAAAACTGGTCAACTTTAGAAACTCACCATTAGCTATTAACCTCATTGGGGCTTCTTTTTTATACACCTAGCATATTCAAAGTATCACCAGTGCTTGAAAATATGTTTGGTCTGGTGATGTGGCCTCCATAATATCTTGTAAGTTGATCTTTTTTAGGGGTGTGCCATAATGGCAGCTTCCATTACTTCATGCATTACTTATTTCCTCATCCCTGCATTTATTCAAGCTGTAGAAGCACATCAACACATTCCTGAAATAAAATTGCTATTGATACTCCTGAAAATTATTTTAGCAAACGGTGCCCCGAGGCCCAGAAGACACTCCCAACTTACATTCCTTCACTCAACACATACTCACCGAGAATGTCTTCTATGTGCCAGGCAGCTTTGTAGGCACATTCGATAGAAGCAGAAAGCCAAACCAAAAAAGTTCATCCTTTCACTGCTTTTACATTCCAGTTATTTTTTTTTAGGGCAATAGCTGGGAGGCAGAAAATAATTAAATAAAAATTATAGAAATACTATAGGAGACAGAGGATGAGCCCTATGAAGAAAATTGAAGCTGGGTAAAGAAACAGATTCTGTGGGGCTGGGGGCATCTCTTAGAGGAGGCAAATATGAGTAGAAGCCTGAGTGAAATGAGGGGTTGGGAATGGGAATGTCTGGAGAAACAGCAGTAAAGGAAGAAGAA